CTGGATATGTGTCGTGGCGTTCCGTTTGGACAAAACCTGCGCCTGTGGAACAATCAGTTTTCCAGCCAGAGACAACTTCAGCGAGGACGTACCTAAGTCTGCGGACATTTCGAGATGAGGTGGTAGAAAAGCGGAGTGGAATAGAGAAAGTTGTGAGGATAGATGATTTTATAGCGAACAGGGTAACTTGTTTGTGACTGAAGGCAGCCTCTGTCGTGCCTTTATAGACGTGCAAATCCCGACTCGGTAAATTACGAAGCGGTGAGCCCTCGCTACACTGCCCGCTCGTACTGAGCATATGTTACGCGCCACGAAGAGCGCGGAATGTTGCTGAGTAAGACAGTCCAAGGGCGAGAAAGGATCGGCTTCAGTGTTGAAGCCTGAAAACGACCTCGTCCAATCGAGGTTATAGAAGGCTTGTTGCCGAGCAGACAATCGATGCATTTATTTACCGTTGATCAACATCAAGTGAAATTGTTTGGGAGAAATCTTGAGCTTGAGCTTGTGAGTGAAGGTACGATGCGACTCGAACAACATACGCAGACTAAATTGCTTGAGTGGACTCTGATTGGACTTCGGACTGCTTGGCACCCGGATCAATTATCTATGGTGGCGATCTCAGATGAGGAAAGTTCAGGAACGAAGCGTTCAGTAAGCATAAGACTGAGGCTGACGTAGCAATGCACTTACCAACCAAGTTTCGCTTACTCATCTACCAGATTGCTCCACACATAAGATGCAACTTACATGTCTTACATTCTGACATCGTCCATACAAGCCTAGGATCGTTCGACTGAAGCAACCTTTGATACCAGATACCACACAAAATCTGAAACTGCTACGTTGAGAACTATTGAAATTCAAAGAATATGATTTCAAATTTGCTACTACTACGACAATTCTCACGCCACAGACTACAGTCCGTCAAAACCAGACTACTAGTCTACTCGGATTTGCACGCCGTAGTTGAAGCATTTTTGATAGCATATACAGTCCAAGACTATAATCCTATATATCCAACAGAGAGTCAAACAAAATTTAAACGCAGGCTCCCTCAGCCTATCAGCACGCAACGCCCGAGAAATACTTTATACGACCATCTTGACTTTCAGCTTGTCCCCTTGGATAATCTCCTGTTTTTTGGCCGACAGCTCCTCCATATCCCACTGGGAGCTGACGTAGCGTCCAGCCAACCAGTCCCTCCGCTCACGTACGAGCCAAGTGAGCGTGTGGGCGGACAACTCGGGCGTATCTACGGTGCCGAACCCACCCGCTTTCACGTCAGGAACCTGGTCAGCCATGTCGGTCTCGATGACACCGGGATGGACACAAAGTGCCAAAATGCCCTTGTCGCCGTACTCTGTCATCAAGAGCTCCGTGAAACGCAGAAGCGCCAGCTTTGACGTCTGAAATAGGTAGACTCAATCGCATCGCTACATGGAAACGAGTGGGCGCGCAGCGCACTTGGTATGCAGATAGATTCGGCATCTTCGCAAGCCCGGCCAGGCTACCGATGATGATGATGGTCTTGTCTGAGCTCTTCAGCACGAGCGGCAAGAACGCGCGCGTCACCGCATACGTCCCAAGCACATTCACCGACCAGGCCTTCCACGCCTCCTGCGGATCCGAGTCCCCGATGAGGCCATACGCGCCGAGGTAGCCCGCGTTGTTCACGAGAATGTCCACCCTCCCGAAGGTCTCCTCCACCTTCGCGGCAGCAGATTCTACCTGTGCGAGGTTACTCGCGTCTAGTGCGACGGTAAGCACCTTAATCTGGTGCCCGGGGCGCTGTGCAGCCTCAACGGCGGCCTTCGTCGCAGACATATCGGACCGAGCGGCGAGGATGAGGCCGGAGACACCAGCCTGGGCAAATGCGATGGCCATCGACCTTCCGATGCCTTTTGAAGCACCGGTAATGAACACAACTTTTCCTTTGAGGTCGGATCTAGAAGGATTGATAGCGGGGTACGTGTCGTGGTGTTCCGTCGCGACAAAATTTATGCCTAGAAAATCGTTACTTTTTCGACTCGGGACGGAACCGTGAGAACGCACCTAAGTCTGCAGTCATTGCGGCCATACCTATAAGATGGTGTATTGAGGTAAAGGAAGTGCAAAAATAGATGACGGGTGTGAGGGCTTGATGGTCCGATGGCTGGGTGTAGGGCAGCTAGGTGTCACATCTCTTATAGACGGGAAATCCTACCTCGACGGGATTACGAATCAAGCACCCCTCTATTCCGCAGAACATACCTCAGTGGAGCTAAGGCCTACTTGGTATGAGATACGAAATATACTGTGCTTGGCGCTGAGTAAGGAAGCTCGTAGATCTCCTAGAAAACACAGGGTCTAACGGATAATCCTGGAACAGTGACGCGTCTGCGCATTTCATCGAGCCTAAAATGTGCTATGATGCGGTCCGGTCACGAGCACTGGGCTGCAACACAAAGTGACAGTGGATTCGTGAATTCTGCGAGGAGAAGCGTCCAGTAGAGACATGACAATAAACCCCGACAATAGATTGCTTTGAGATCACAACACCTGACAATTTTATGGACCTTGTCGCCGAAGGCTCGAATTGGATGCGAAGAGGACGGTTTGACCACGATGCAATACAGTCGCTCACGAGCTGCGTACAAAGTTTGGACGTGTTTTCCCTCAGTTTTGGATGTTGTTTTCGACGAGTCCGAGATGCCTGAAAACGCGGCAAGAGCCGAAGACAGATTATGGTTTCACCGATCCTCGAAAGCTGAACACAGTTTTCGGCGTCGAAATTATTCTGCTCACCGTCTGGATGAGATCTATCCTGTCGGCTGTATTTGGCCTAACATACCTTGTCGCCCCCCCACCCCCAAATTAGGGAACGAACAGGTCACGCATGAGAGGCCGTGTACCATCCCACATTCCGTAACATTCGACAATCTCTGATGCTATTCCCCGTCTGGTTCTGTGAACCAGACCCCTCGTCTGACAGTGACAAGATGTGGCAGTATTCTAATACGGTGAACGGCGCTGGACAGTGGAGCTATCAGCCGGACCGCGACATTGAAACTTGAAGGTTTGTGGCACGTTCTTGTGATCAATTCGTGATATATACCTGGTTGGAAACATCATTGAGGTAATCATAGGTCACAAGGGCCAAATGCTTACTTGTGTGGGGCCGACTCGAAGTACACCATGGCTGAAGCTGAAGTAGTCATGCCAGTCGACAAAAGCCAATAGTTGAGAGCAAAAAAAACTCCAAACCCCTGAGAAGAATAAAATGTACCAGTATGGTACTATCAATATAATCCAGCGCGAAGACAGTATGCATGAACAATGTGTGAAAAGCGTGACATGTTCGTAAACCCTCCCCCCCCCTCCAAAAAAAAACGAATCGAACTAACTGTCTGCGGCGACTGAGGGAACTAGGAAATTAGATGGAACAACTAATTTTTGCATAACAATCAGAAATTACCTCGCTTGAAGCAGCTTGAACGACTTACTTCCTTCGTCACCATTCAGATTGCGCGCGCGCCACCAATCTCCGTGAGTATTGACAATCTCCAGTATTTCACCCACCGCGAATGAAAGTTCAGGCGGGACGCTATTAGGATCAGCGTCATCTGAAATAGAGGCTCAGCAACTGTCTTCCAGTAACGAAAATGAGACTCACACCCAAACATCGCTTTCATCCTAAGTGCCCTATAGCTCGCACTGACGCCTCCACCGGCACCTATGCCAGCAAGATTGAGTTCAGGGGTAGTCACTACTACAGCCTCCGGCTTGAGACGTGGTGATGTAGGTGGAAGATCAACTGTGCCCATCGAGTCGAAAGCATGTCGCACAAATGAATTCTCTGCGGAAGAGAAGTAAAGGACCCAAAGAATATCCACCACAACATTGATTAACCATCCTGCTCCCATCGTCCCCAACCATACATGGCCGGAGAATATCCCGTTGTTGATGCCTATGACTGCAAATGCAATGGCGACCACTCCAAAAACGGATATCAGGTGTCGATGTATGGCAGTAGTATCACTCGCTAGCGTGTACAAGACGCTCGCTGCAAGAAAAAGTTGGAAGAAAATAGCAACCCAGAGAACACCGACAGCGCTATAGCCAACTAAAAAAAAAGGTAGTGAGAAGGCTGCAAAACTCAGTATGAATGCGCTGCCTTACGCTCGCGGGTGCTTATAGCTTGCGCAACGAAGGCAACAAACCAACCAATCTAGGGCAAGCATCAGCCAACGTGATACGCTTTCCGCCTCAATGCACCAAACACTCACCACAGCGAGGATCGCAGTGAAGGAGAATACATAGTTCGTAAGGATAGGTGCAAAGTCCAGTTGGCGTGACACCATCCGGATCCCAGCGTCAGTAAACACAGGTAAAGAAAATAAACTAGAGAGAGGTTGGATAGTATGGTCTCAGCTGTTTAGCTCCAACGTGCCCGTGCAAAGAGTGCGACCACAGCTGGGAGGGTGAAGCGTGTTTGCCGGCCTCTGCGCGACGCCTGCACGATCCGCAGCTTACCACGTTTGTACAACTTAGCCTTAGATTGCAACAGGAGTCGTGCCTTAAGGGCAACTGAGAGGCATAGGTTCGTCGCAATTGCCAACAACGCCGGCAAAAGTGCAGGTCTATGGCATGGTCTCGTGATCATCGTCAGGCGTAGTCAGTGGCCGTCACGCCTTCAGTACGTTTTGTCTTCGAAGTCTCATCTTGCCCCCCTGGCCTGTTAAGCACCCGCTCATGGTTGATACATTCTTATAGTGGCTCAGCGTTCTGTTGACCATGGCTCACTCTCTATTAGCAGCTTCACGGCAATTGGTACTCGAATGCAGCAACAAGTATGTTCAATCGAATCGTTCAAGCTGTCATGACTGAAACACATCTTGACGGCCAGGTTTGTTGACGGCCCTTTTGTCTATATCTGTGCTACTAACCCATGATGGTCTACACATCCTAGACCATTTTATGGATAGAGTGTATGAGTCGGTACTTACTGATTTTAGCGACGGGCAAGAGTTGAATATCGCAACAGTCATGGTCTAGTGTATAATCTAACACTGTCTGCAAGCTGAGAAACAGGCTCTTGCTCTGGTCACTCTACTCACTCTGCTTCATAACCTTCTGGCAACATCTCGTGTTTATCTCTGCGCATCCGTGTCTGCACCATCGCACTCAAGTTTGTCTGAATTTGATGGCTCTCGTGCTCTGCACTAGCATCCCTGCTTGACCCTCAGTGTTTCAAGATTTGCGAGACATGGCCTCGCGTGCATCTCTATCACTTATGTGTTAGTAAGTCCGCATTTCGATGCTATCATAGTCATTTTTACGTGCCATGTGTGGCCGAAGTCAATAGATTGTGAGACCTTGTATGCTCATGTATTGCCATCCTACGTGTCTGCACTCTTGCCGATTGGCGCACGCCTTTGAGGTCACTTGGATCCATCCATCGACTGATGCCTTCATATCCTCTCACTGGCAGGGTTCATCCCGAGGCTAGTCTGACGGCTCAACAGCTTCGACTATGATTTTTGCCAGCAGGGCTGCGACGACGATCTCTAGGCTGCTCTTGCAAATACCAGGCACAACCTCCGACTTCTCATCATGCGCCCCCATCTTCTACTTTGGAACCGTACCGAGGACATCATTGCAGCATAGGTTCGCCAAACAGCTTACAAGAGCCCCAAAAGAGTTGATGATACCGAGAGTATCGCCAGAGAATAAGTAGATTCATACTAGATTATGAGCAGTGGCGATGCCAGCTGTATGTCGACTACCGTTTGATTCGGATGTCCCCTTGAAAATACTGTTACCGATTTTTCCATCGAGCATAGATCACTTTAGATACCACATACGTATCAGTGGCAATTCAAGACATTGCTCAGTCTGCATACACAAGGGTCAATCCTCAAAGGAATTTTTCGCGTTACAATTCCAACGCTACTCTCCTAGTCACGACCAAAAGAGCGGATCTGGCGTCCCCACGGTGACAGGAGGATCATGGGCCAGTGACTGCTTTGGAGGCATGAAAAAGATGAACACCTTCTCATCTATCACTGAGTTGAGTATGTGATGGGGGAGCTCTTTCTTCGGTAAGATGGCTTTCCAAATCCCACGCATCATTGGGCCAGAATCGTTGCCTGGTCTGCTGGAGCTAAGAACCTCCAAGCTTGTTAGCTGAGCGAGAAATGCTTGCTACACGGAGACATCCAAATCGCATGGCGGGAGAGAGAGCATGAGGTCATGTACAGACAACAAGGGAAGTACAGAAGGCAGAGCATTCAAGATCTGATGCAGTGTCTCTTTTATCGTCAGCTTAAACCCTTTCCTGGCAATATAAAAGATGTGCGATGCGTATGGCAAATTGTCCCCCACTATTGAGATAAGTCCCAGACGTTGAGAGTGACTAAAACCATCTATATGGTCCAAGAGACAGACCATAAATTTCTTCGGATGACGGTATGCTGGAAAATTGGTTGGATGCATAAGTGCGGAATGTCAGGCTATTCGCGTGAATATATTTGAAGGCAAGATAAAGAGTCATGCTAGTGTTCAATGGAATGGTGAGATGTAGAAGGAGGTACACCATGTCTTCCTGATTCATTGCTATCTCGAGACTTCTCAGATTAGAGAGAGAGAGAGAACCCGTGAGGAAGACTCTCCATGCAAGGGTTGCCTTAGGAGATCTTCGGCCCATCCATGACGTACAGTGAGTGTCCTAAGACCAGGGGAAATCTCCAGTATATCAAGAAAAACACCCACTTCAAAGGAGGGAAAGGAGTGAACCGGGCAATTTCTAGAGCCGTAAACCCACGCAAAACGTGGGAGTTGGGGAGGAAGCTTATTTTGCGCAAGCATAGAGACTTTACCTTCGGGAATGGTGATTCCGGCGAGCTGCTGACTCCAAATTCTGCATGATTCCAGTATCATGTCAATCGCAAGGACTCGAGATTCGACATCGGTACGTCAAAGCCGCACAGTAACCAGGAGGTAACAGGCAAGTCTTCTTCCAGATCAGTTGGAACACAATTATGAAGCCGGCGAATACGATCTTTCACTGACACAATAGCATCGACGACTTCCGGTGCGGGGATGGCAGTATTTTCAACATAAAAGTCCAAAAGCATATTATTGGAACGAGCGAGGATGACAGCGTGTATGGGGAAATGGGTCTTGATCCGGATGCAGGTCCACAAGGAGGACGTGTTCAGCGCCACAGTACGCCAGAGAGAACAAACGTAGGTGATGACGAGACATTCAGAGATAGATAGCTCGTGAGGAAGATGCTGGAAGATCTCAACCAGTAGCTCCGTTAGAACGCGGTTGATTGGGACTGTTGCATTGTGCAATCGGCGTGAGTTACATCCGAGCTCGTCTTGTCCAGTGCCAAGTTCTTCGTCTAACAGCAAAATGGATGAGAACGTCTGTCCTTAATATCACGACACGTATCGTTCGCAAGATTGTCCACTGAGAGTAGGGATAGGTGGTTGACAATGTTTGAAAACCTCTGGCCCTGAGCGACCATAGCAGAAGTCATGACAATCTAGCGCGTTACTAGAGAAAACCAAGATTTTACGGGCAGTCAGGGACAGCCCCCACGACGAGATATATTAGATATGGGCGCAACGACTTATGTGCGTGCAAGTTAGCAATTCTAGTCGAGGTTTTAATCCAATTCAGCCACCATGGCGTAACAACTTCAACAAATAAACGCGTGATTCAGAATCGGTCTCAGCAGTGGTTGGTCTCCAAGTCGTACTCAGAGTCAGCCGCGGCGTTGTCTCCGAGCTCGCTATGTATGTGCCAACCATATCACACTGAATGCTGAGCAATGCTGTTAAAATTGATAGCGCTACAGGTAAGCTGAAGTCATATCTAAAAATGTTAGCTGAACTCAGTATTTTCTGTCTGTTAGATGCTCCCTACCGCAGCCCGAAATCATCTATTACGCCGCATGATTAAGCAATAATAGGACTTTCAATGATGGGCCACAATGATTCATTACACATTATTCAGCAATGCTAGCACCTAAGTACAATGATGGGCCGGTCGCGGCCTTGGCGTTCTCGCACGCAATCGTGTTTACTGTATAACGAGGGGTGATGTGCTCAGATCGCAGCAGACAAATGTGTTCCTCTCACTTGCACCCGAACTTACTAGACACACTCAACGCCCCCGCCCCCGTATCATGTCCTCCCTTCCACTAGTCATCGTTCTTGGTGCTACGGGGCGCACAGGGAAGGTTATTATTGATGCGCTTCTAGAAAGTGGGAATTTTGTACGTATCATCCACTTACGCTGTCGAGATTTGGCTAATCCACGGCGTTCCTTGCAGAGGGTCGGTGCTATCACTCGAACGGTCTCGGTGTCCAGGCCTGAGGTGGAGGCTTTGCGTGTGAAAGGTGTCGAGATTCGAGCGGCCGACATCAGTTCGGACGGTGTCGAGACATTGAAGGAGACTCTTTCTGGCGCAGAGGTGCTCATAAGCGCTGTTTCCGGGGTGGTAATCAGCGACCAAAAGTCCATTATTGCTGCAGCGAAGGAGGCAGGCGTAAAACGAGTCATTCCATGTGACTTTGGAACGCCGGGCTCGCGGGGAGTAAGGGAATTGCACGACTCTGTGAGGTTCTACAACACTGCCGTCGAGCTTGTAGCTGATCAGGAGCTCAGAAACTAGACATCCGCGAGTACATCCAGAAGTTGGGCATCGGTTACACTTTTATCGACGTTGGCTGGTGGATGCAACTCACTATTGTTGGGACCGATACCCATCCTTCCTTCGTTGGCCCTAGGTCCCATGAGATATACGGCGCTGGAGACAAGAAACTCCTGCTTACCGATCTCAATCATATTGGGCGATTTGTGGCGAAAATTGTGATCGACAAGCGCGCTCTCAATCAATATGTAATTGTATGGGAAGACGAAAAAACCTTCTTGGAGGCTAAGGAGATCTCGGAGAGGGTTTCTGGGGAGGGTGAGACGCTCAAGGCCAAACGCAGCTATGTATGTCGACTTGGTTGGCCCTGTCGCTCGTCACTTACAGTAAATTCCAGATATCTCGCGACGAGGTCATCCAGCGTGGAGAAATAGGGAGAGCAAATGAGAAGCCGAATGACGAAGCCTCTTATTATCCTCGTATCATATCCGAATACATTATAAGCCTGCATTTCCTGGGAGAGAATTCGCTCGAGAATGCGAAAGCCCTCGGTGCACTTGACGCTAAGGAGCTTTATCCTGATGTTGCGACGAATTCGTTCGAAGAGTATGCGAGCAAGTTCTACTCTTCTTAACTCTGTTAAGTTAGTTGTTTACGAGCCTGTACATAAAGGAATTAACTTGTACATTAGTGATATGGTTTTTTGAGCACATCGAATCAAATTTGTCATGCGTTGTTGTATTTATTGTGGAAAAATTCATTCACTCAAATTTCAGTCTGACAAAAGTAGATTAATGTCATCCGAACTCGCGAATAAGGAAAAGTGCTGACGCTGGCGTCAAAATGGGGCGCCGGCGTCGCGCGGAGACATACTCAATCCTTTGGGCTGAACGAGAATAGCTCAACATATTTCATTGATGAAACAATTACATTGGCGAATCCCAAAGGGGCTAAAAGAGCAAGGTTGCCGTTGTATGAATCGTGATTTCAGCAAGGAGCATGATAAAAACACCCCGTCTCTAAATCGGTAAGCGTGCAAGGTGACGAACAAGTCACAAATCATCGACATTGTCTACACACAGATAAGTTGAGGTTGACTATGCGTAGAACCTACCCCTCAGATATGTCCCGGACTAATTCATCGAAGGTATCATATGGAACAAACTGAGTAGTGGAGTTATCATTATGCGAATTGTGCGCTTACAGGCCTACGTAGATCATTTGAGAGAACGTGTCAAGCACTGAAATAACACATGTGGAGATCTTACAGGGATGACTGACCATTCATGCGAAGCATTGTCGAAATGAGATCCGTGTGTTCGTCGTGGAACGTCGACACTTGAGTCTGCGTTAAAACGGTATCAGGGTAAATGCTCAGTGAATCTTACTTGTTAATCACAGCTGCCGTCACTGGGACCGTCTTTCCACCGTTCGTCTGTCTTCTCGATAGAGCAATCAAAGCTCGACTTCCCCAATCGCACATTCACGTCATTATGCCTTTGACACAGCCATCTGCTCAATGCGACCCGCCCACTGACGTCTGGTGGATGAGTCTTAATGTTATCTTCCAAGTGTGACGCGCAGTGCGAGCATGGATACAGAACAGGAAGTGAGCGCAGCAGGCTGAGCATATTTGCACGCTGGTTCGGCGTCGGTCGCTCGGGGTAATACGCCGCCGTCGTGTGAAGGAAAGTCCAAGTTGCACGACCGAGCTGCTCGACATCCGGGGGGCAGTGCTCTGGTCGGATGTCTGGCTCTGGCTGGGATACGAAGCCTTTCCCGGATGCCAACGCGGCCATCATCGCCGCAGTCGTTTTCTTTCTGCTCTGCGTCGAGGCCACACTGTCCTGCACGTTGGGCTTTGGAGGTTTCCAGTTGCGAAATGCGGTACAGATTTTGCAGGGCTTTCCATCCGGGCCCAGCACCATTCCCGGGGGGAGCGAGGGTTTGGAGCCATCGGATTCGGGTCCTGGCATCTGCAGAGTTGACGTCAGGAGGAGGATAAGGAGGAGTGGAAAGCCGGGAGCTGACAAGTCGCGAGCCGACTATGATCAAACCGGCGTTCTCCGGTACCACGCGCGCCGCGCACCTTGAGTCGTTGACTGCTCAGACGATTTGCTCCATCTCGGCTGAGGCCCTGAGGGCTCCATACCTGCTATTGGGGTGTTAAAAATGTCCTGACCGAACATCCACATCAATGGCTGACATGCTCAGCGGAGAATTACATTTATTAATCGAGAAACGGGGTCACCCGATGAGTGAATTATGTAATTCGGGCCAATCTAGTCTCTCATTTTTTCTCATTGAATGTCCCAGTTTCTGTTTTTGATTCATGTCACTTTCCACTGGGGCTGAGACATCGCGCAGACTGCGCCCTTGGAGACTGCCACTAGATGCTATTTTCCAGCGGGGCACGCCGTGGATCGGAGCCTGCTCAATTTGAGGGCAAGCAAAGCTACAATAACTTAAACGATTGCCCACGCTCAGTCTTCGTGATCATCATTTTATACTTTCCAGGTCGGCAGGTATTGTCTACTTGGCGATTATGTGCCGGCGCCGCATTATTTTGTCGTCAACGGTCGTACACTTGATTTTCCTCAGATGCCTACAGAGATCTTCCCGTTAGGCTCAGGGTTTAAGAGGAACCGACCCCGCAGCGCATCAAACCCGCAATGGTATTACACAGCATATTGCCCTCAATTGATGGCAGTTTCATGCTGCCGATTTGGTATCCTTGGTATCTTTCCGGTGCCAGCAAACTCCAAGATTCGATGTTCGGATTCCAGCGGCATTCGGACGGTCGGACCTAGCCTCTCCCCTTCCGTGCGGCCACCCATTTAAGGCATTCAAATATTCTCTTTTGATTCTCCTGCCGCATCAATCGTCCTGTGTAAGTTCGCTTTCTTGGAACGAGATAAGTAGCGTTACTCCATACGCATTTCGCTCTCTTTCCTCTCCCCTCTGTGTTCCCAAATCTGCTCGGCTGCAGGAGCAAGTGCTGTTCTGTCGTATGGCTTCAATCCCGTTAGTGTTTTCGAACTGGACCCAAAGACCGTTGGCCCGTCTTATACCTTTCGGTTTGGGTGCCTTCCTATTTCTTTGGGCTGTCGCCTACTTCGCCTGGCCTACACACGGCCCTCACACACTGCCATCACTGGAGCTGGACGTGTCGTTTCCCCCGCAGCCACTACCACCAGGACGTGGGGGAAAGAAGTGGCCCATACGTGCGAATGCCGTAAGACGCGCGTTTCTGCACTCATACGATGGGTATAAGAAGCACGCTTGGGCCAGCGACGAGCTTCTCCCTCTATCCAACAGTTCAGTTAATAAGTAAGAGTTTACTTATATGGTCGCTTGTTTTCTCATCTCTCCTAGTTTTAATGGGTGGGGTGTGACACTGGTCGATGGGCTCGACACCATGTGGATCATGGGTTTATATCGCGAGTTTTATGAGACCATTCCGGTCATAGCCAAGATGGATTTCTATCTCGATGAGGTTTGCGCATTCATTTAGCTATAACTAACATGGTTTGACTAATCAGACCAGAACTCATTCGCTCCTTTCTTCGAAACGGTCATCCGCTATCTCGGAGGTCTGCTCTCCGCCTACGCACTATCCGGAGAACCCATCCTCCTCGCGCGTGCGGATGATCTAGGGAGAATGCTTTCTCCAGCGTTCAATACCTCATCTGGGCTCCCCAGGTTCTCTGTCAATACCGTAACGTAAGTGCTGATCCCCTACAGCGAGAATGCATTTGTAACCACTTCACTATCAGAGGGAAGACCAAGCAGGCGTGGGGCGATGGAACTGCGCTCTTAGCCGAAGCACTTAGCTGCCAGCTAGAATACAAATACCTTGCGCATTTGACTGGCCGCAGGGATTATTTCCATAATGTGAGAATCCTATGCGCAGATCAGCTACTCGTAACTCAGCGCAGGGTAGGTTGACAGATTGATGGATGTTATTCGCGATGCAAATGTTCCGGGATACAAGTTCCCGACTATATGGGATTACAATGAGGGGATCCCCGCGAATGGTGGGCTTAGCATTTGTATTCGATCAGCTTGTTATTGACATATTCTAGAACAATTCTCCGCGGGCGCGTTTGCGGACAGTGCCTACGAATATTTATTAAAACAGTACCTCCTCACATCTAAATCCGAATCAAAAGTGCACGATCTTTGTAAGTCCATGACGTGATAGTTTCCGGGTCGTGTATTGCACTGAATGCCCCCATGAAAGACCTTCACGTAGCAAATAGCGTGATCGAGAATCTCCTATATATCACACCTAATCGACGTCTTCTCTACGTAACGGATACGAACAACGACAATCCAAGCCACAAGTTTGAGCACCTCTCGTGCTTCCTTCCTGGACTGCTCGCGCTTGGTGCCCACACGCTCGATCTACCCGCCCGAGATGCGCAGATACATATGTGGGCGGCAGAAGGGCTCGCGTACACCTGCTGGATGACATACGCGGACCAACCGAGCGGGCTGGGACCCGACGAGGTGAATATGGTGCCGATGCCCAAGTCGGACGAGAATCCGCGAGGTGGGCTGTGGGTAGATCATCTCGAGCGGTGGGAAAGAACAAGGAGTCCAGTACCTCCTGGTTTGGAACGAGTGCCTCCCCTGCTCCAGGGTGAGCGCGACTATTCTATGCGCAAACCTGGATATTTCCTGCGACCAGAGGTACGGTGCTTAGCCGATGGTCGTAATGGTCGCGCTTATAGTGTGCGTGCAGGCCGTTGAGAGTATGTATCTACTCTGGAGAATCACCGGCGACGAAGCGTGGCGAGAACGTGGCTGGGCGGTTTTCCAGGCCCTTGAAAGGGAGACGAAGACGTCGAGTGGCTATGCAAGTCTGTCGTCTGTAGAGCGGACACCGGCTTCGAAGAAGGATGAGATGCCGAGGTAAATTTTTGAGGCGATTGATTGTCTTATGCAAAACTGACGAAGAGCCATTATCCAGTTTCTTTATGGCAGAAACGTGAGTGACTTTCAGTATCGTTATATGCGTTTCTAATTGTGTCCCAGGTTAAAGTACCTGTATTTACTCTTCACGGATGAGGAGATCATACCGCTAAATCAGTGGGTGTTCAACACGGAAGCTCACCCTCTACCTATCTTCGAGTGGTCAGAATGGGAGAAGTCAGAGTATGGAATCCACTAAGTGCGGAGACGACTTGTGTATGTAGAACTTCGGAGATCAACTTGCGCGTTTGTGACCTAAGTTTTTAGTTCTTTCACATCTACCTCACCTGGGTTTGTTAAGGGCACGAGCAAGCGGCAAGACATTCTTTCACGAAAGAAGTATCAGATGTGCAAATTATTGGCAAACGAAGTTATTGGACTCAGCTTCTTTTGTGTCTCTCGATTGGAAACCTTGCGCTAACGTTCCATTATAGCGCTCTGAGCCCTCAGTCCCTGACTCGAACTTACTGTAACGCAAGTGCGAGTGCCAGTAGTTGGCTTATTTGATCTCCTCGCCCCAATTGCCGTTACAGATGCTCATGCTATTTTCTCTATTTGAAAGTTGTATTGCTGAGGAAATTGTCAAGTCTGCCAAATCATCGTTCCAAGCATCTCAACTGATTTCCTCCGCAGAAGGCTTAAAGCGCTGCATGAGATTCGCAAAGAGCTGGAAGCCGCAAAGGGTGACGTCCCATTTTCTGGTTCGTCATTCTCTAGTTATCAGGTAGATGTTTTTGACATTCGGCCCGTACCTGTAGCCTCTGCTCAACACGAGTTAATGCCTAGTAATGGTTCATATTTACTCACAAGTCTCGGAGAGCATTCTTGTCGTCTGGAGGAGATGTCATATAGCGAAGAGACAGATTCAGATGCGCAATTGCGGCTCTGTTGAGTGGCACATTAAAATTTTTCGTCTTGTACATACAGCCCCGGTCTCGCATCGAACGACGTACTCGAAGCCTAGCGCTACGTCACAGGGCCTAGCCTCAGATTCAAACCCTCCCAATTCTCCTACGCATTATGTCAGTGAGTGCAAGTTGAACGCAAGCCAACCGCCGAGCGCTTCGACGATGACCGACCGCGACATCAGACACCTGAGACACGCAACGACTTGGAAACTTCCATTCCTACTTGCATCTCAGGGGACTATGGTAACAGGGCATCTTTATTTTGTGCGTGTGTCTCTTGCATCCCGAAGTAATTTCTCAACGCTAACGGCTCGATGACGTCGCAATGAGGCAACAATCAATGTAATCCACCAGGTATTATCTCTTCGTCCACTGGCAAGCAACCCGCGTTGGGTGGTAATGACACGGGGGAGGCTCGATTTGTTGTAAGTCGACCGCAGCGGGACATCTGTCTACACTCAATGATGGGCATTAGTTCCCCACCGTACTCGGAGCCACTCTATCGGCCCCACACCAAGTCTACGTCGCGCAATACCATGTGCCCGTCGATATCCATGGAGTTCTATGCAGACCAATGTCACAGCACTCTTCTGAGCGTTCACTGAAAAATGTTTATACGTTCGCCGCGGGTCAAAGCTCATGTCCAAATTCGTCGTTCATCACGGTGTGATCGCCTTCATTATCACGACAACGTATCTATTATGATATGCTGATGTCACTCACGTCCATTTAAACCCTCAAAGTTGGGTTCAGATTTGTCACTCATCACGATGTTAACGCCCTCGCTATCTCAGCTACACATCGGTGATAGAAATGCTAACTTCGCCAGCACCTTCTAAACCGCTCAAGCCGGACTCCATGGTCACCGGCGGGTCTCCAGTGAGCATATTTCCAAATCACGATAGTATATAATAGGCCCCATTTCTCGCCCCCGGCCATTCAACATATCTCCCACATTCACTGCGTGTGCACAAGCTTTATCACAACATATCCCCTGATATGTCTGTGGCAACTGTAGCTGATGTAGCGTGAGTGGCCTGTACCTGTGACTACGTGACAAGCTACTTGTAACTTATAGTCTACCACAAGGTATCTAAGCAATATTTGCTCATTCGCATCCTCTGGTATAAGGTCTTTCATATGCATTTGGGGCATTCACGGAATATTAGCATAATAGCCCTTGTTGTCTATGACCATATCATCACCTTCTCTCTTGAAGTTGATCTGTTTTGGTTGCATCCTGTGTCTGGGGCAACAGTCCTATTTTTCTTCAACAGATACATCCTCTTGTTCAATGCAATACTGAATACAGTAGAGGGTACTCCTGTGACTATTGTTCCAGTGAGTTTTCTAATGATACCAATTCTTTCTGTGGAAGCTCATGCTGCTGTGGAGTTGAGGTTTGTTTGCAACATTTAGATTATGATCTTACAGTAACAAGATCAGTTGTGAGGCTACCTTTATCCTTGGATCCATTTCAGAAAACTTGGGAACATTTATCATGGCAGGTTTGTCATGCATTGTTCTTGGTTTTGGATACCACTGAATGTCTTATATACAGTGTTTGCTGCACTGCGAACATATGCTATCAGTGGTTTCAATAAACTGCTTACTTTGCTTGTACTTGTGATTTCATTTGTGCCTGTGGTTCTGACCATAGTTTGTACTAATTTTCTACAAGGCATTGATATCCTCTTATGCTAATGCAGTATATAAATACCAAGTCATTTCCTGTTGAACTTGGAATTCCAGGTCTATTCCCAGAATGTGGGGCAGGTTTTGATCTGGCATTCTCTACATTTTTTGAGTAAGTGTTTCAACTTACCTTGGGAATGTTTACAAGCAATTATACACTAATATTACATTTCATAAAATAGATGTAATTGTGTTGCTTTCTTCTACTTATGGCAGTTTGTATGATGCTTATATACTTGAAGTGTTTGTCATAGGCTCAGTTGCACCTGTTATATCTGATATAGTTGTCATTGTGATGACCTGGAAGCAGACATTTCAATTTGGCTTGATGTCTCAGTATCATGGCTTCAAGCAGTCTATAATATTGATTATATTCAGAGATGGTAAGTTTCTACCCATAATCAGCACATTTACAAAAGGTGAAGCACTTGTATGGCAGGTACTGCC